AACGCGCAGGCAAGCTGGGCGTGATCAGCATGGCTGCGCAGTCAGGCTGGTTGGCCAACACCCGTAAGTCGGTTGAATGTTCTCAGGGTCGGGATTCATCACTTCGACGCTCAGCAAAGCATCAAAGGAGGGAACACCACCCGCACTGGACAATTGGCGTTTACCAAACGGCCTCGGGCGTTTATTAAACAGCCCTGCCTTGTTCGGTTCCCTCAGTGGGGGCGTTTAGCAAAACGGCCTCGCTTGCCGGGGTAGCTATGCTGGGAGTTTTTTTTTGCGCTCTAAGGCAATGGTCCCGAAAGGTACAGTCAACGCGCATAGTAAGGACAAACGACTTTTTCAAGGGTACCCGTGGGTCCTTGCCCGCCTCAGCCTCTGCGGCCCGTCCCTAGCAATCTTCGCAGGCCAGTTTCTCAGGTTCCTTGGGGGTTTGGCCGCCTGCCGCCCAGGATACTTCAACTTCGGCCTCCAAGGGTCTTGCGTCCTTGCCACGCGTCCTTACTATACTCAGGAGCGAAAGAAGGACGTACATGTACATGAATCCACGCTGGTTTCGAGAGCACGCATTGCACAAATGTTCGTATAACGCGGCCAGTCTCGCGAATCGAGGGGCCGTGTTCATGTACATAGCTGGGCGCGTACGTCCTTTGTGGGCTCCCTATATACGTTTTCATTGTAGGACATGAGATGCCAGGGGTGGCCCATTCGTGAGTGGACTGCTCGCCGGTTGGCTGGTCGCCTGCGGGTGCGGCTGCCTCTCGCGACAAGAGGCCGCGCCGAGGGGCGGGCGTACAGGTCACCTCGCTTTGGCGCACAGGTCTACTCTTAAGTCTGGCCTGTCCCTCTACAGGGTGGATCTTCAAACATAGGCAAAAAGTCATACGGGGACGATGTGTTGGATCATTTTGAGTTATCTCTGCTTTTTTTGGGGGTATTGTTACGTTTTCGTCCAAAGTCCGCCTGTAGGGGGACACGCCCGACGTGAGTCTGCTCTCGTATGTTGGCCATGGAGTGGCAGTTGCTGGTGCAACACCTGCAGAACTGGCCAGTGTGAGGCGTACTTCTGGAGTGTCTGCTGGACGTAGCTCTGGTCACGACTCGATTACACTTGTTCTGACCACGCAGAAGGATGGGATGTATGACCCCATGTACCATGCCACGCCGGAGCCCCTGAAGGCCTGCTCGACGCTTATCGGGGACCAACAGAAATTTCTTGGGAGGCTGCACAAGGCTTGGTTAGTCGTAACGTGCAAATTCCAGACACACAAGATGCCTTGGGCTGGTGTCCGTGGGCCTTCTGAGATATCCAGGCTGTCCTTGGGCAGAATTGGGTGGGCAATGGCATCCAGTGCTGTTTTGCCAGATGACCCGACTTGCGTTCATGATCTTTTGCAGGTGCCACCCAAGATGATCTGTGAATTGGCCCGCCAGGGAGTGGAGCGTTGGCAGGCCGCGCAAATCATCAAACATTATCAAGACATGTGCTATGGAGGTGGAATAAGATGGATCCGCATGGTGAGAAGGTGCTTTGGCGGTACCAAGGCTGCTGTTCGACACCCTCGCTTTGCTGGCGCCCTTCGTACGATGAGGGGTCTGGAGGCATCTGGACGCGCGATTGCCAGAGCAAAGCAGGCTACAACATTGGTCCTTTGTGTCCAGCCGACAGGTCCACGTTGGGACATGAATTCTATGACTGCCCCACCTTCTACAATGACTCCTATGCTGAGGACCCCCTCTGCGACCCCAAGATGGGCCACGTCTGCTCGCACATCAAGGGGAAAGGCCTTCAGAGTTTAAGGGCTCCTGGGATCGTCTGGACACGACCATGTGCTTCCCCATTGTGCCCCAGCTGCCGCCTCAGGCCTCAGATGGGCTCCAGTACAAGCTATGGGGAAAATCGGGGATCTCAGCGGGGACCGTTGCCAATTATGGTGTATACTGATGGTTCTGGGCTGGCCGCTGGCCCCACCGTGGCCTGACATCAGGAGGTGTGGGTGATCCAGTCGAAGGCCATGTGCAGACAGTTGGCCGTGCTGAACGAGCAGCTCCGTTGTTCGAATTGCGTCGGCTACCTTGTGTTTCGTCAGTCGTATCTGATGTTGCCAGCCTTGCCGCTGAGTGACAGAGCTGGACTGCAGAGTTGGAGCCGGCCGACACCACATATGCAGATATTGGGCGCCAGATTTTCACGACGACATCACACTTGGAGAGTCCTGACCTTTACTGGTGACCCGCCCACCAGTCAGCGGAGGAATTCATCATGATAAATGTACATCCCTGGGAATACCGCCTGGGAAATGCATGGGCCGAAAGGTTGGCTAAACCTGGAGCTTCTCTGCATTGAGCATCGGGGACGCTCGAGAAGTCGCTGGAGGCGGGGATGCAGGACTCGAGGCCACAGGCCCGCTCTCTCCAATGGTGTGTGTGTGTGTCTGAGATGACCACGCGTGGTGCTTTAAGTGACCGCCCCGCACGTTTGTAAAAGGCCCCCAGTCCCGTGGCCCTCACTGCTCATGAAATGGTGGTGAGAAAACACACGCACACACGCACACACGCACACACGCACAAACACCACACATTCACATTCACATTCACATTCGCATTCACATTCACAGTCACAGTCACAGTCACATTCACATTCACATTCGCATTCACATTCACATTCACATTCACATTCACATTCACATTCACATTCACATTCACATTCACATTCACATTCACATTCAAATTCACATCCACATTCACATTCACATTCACATTCACAGTCACAGTCACAGTCACATTCCCATTCACATTCACATTCACATTCACATTCACATTCACATTCACATTCACATTCACATTCACATTCATATTCACATCCACATTCACATTCACATTCGCATTCACATTCACATTCACATTCACATTCACATTCACATTCACATTCACATTCACATTCACATTCACATTCACATTCACATTCGCATTCGCATTCACATCCACATTCACATTCACATTCACATTCACATTCACATCCACATCCACATTCACATTCACATTCACATTCACATCCACATCCGCATTCACATTCACATTCACATTCACATTCACATGTACATTCACATTCACATTTACATTCACATTCACATTCACATTCACATTCACATTCACATTCACATTCACATTCACATTCACATTCACATTCACATTCGCATTCACATTCACATTCACATTCGCATTCACATTGACATTCACATTCACATTCACATTCGCATTCGCATTCACATTCACATTCACATTCACATTCACATTCACATTCACATTCACATTCGCATTCACATTCGCATTCACATTCACATTCACATTCACATTCACAGTCACAGTCACATTCACAGTCACATTCACATTCACATTCACATTCACATTCGCAGTCACATTCACATTCACATTCACATTCACATTCGCATTCACATTCACATTCACATTCACATTCGCATTCACATCTACATTCACATGCACATTCACATTCACATTCACATTCACATTCACATCCACATTCACATTCACATTCGCATTCACATTAACATTCACATTCACATTCACATTCACATTCACATTCACATTTACATTCGCATTCACATTCACATTCACATTCACATTCACATTCACATTCACATTCACATTCACATTCAAATTCACATCCGCATTCACATTTCACATTCACATTCACATTCACATTCACATCACATCACATTCACATTCACATTCACATTCACATTCACATTCACATTCACATTCACATTCACATTCACATTCACATTCACATTCACATTCACATTCACATTCACATTCACATTCACATTCACATTCACATTCACATTCAAATTCACATCACACATTCACAACCACATTCGCATTCACATTCACATTCACATTCACATTCACATTCACATTCACATTCACATTCACATTCACATTCGCATTCACATTCACATTCACATTCACATTCACAGTCACATTCACATTCACATTCACATTCGCATTCGCATTCACATTCACATTCACAGTCACATTCACATTCACATTCACATTCACATTCACATTCACATTCACATTCACATTCACATTCACATTCACATTCACATTCACATTCACATTCACATTCACATCCACATCCACATTCACATTTACATTCGCATTCACATCCACATCCGCATTCACATTCACATTCACATTCACATTCACATTCACATTCACATTCACATTCACATTCACATTCACATTCACATTCACATTCGCATTCGCATTCACATTCACATTCACATTCACATTCACATTCGCATTCAAATTCACATCCACATCCACATTTACATTCACATTCACATTCACATTCACATTCACATTCAAATTCACATCCACATCCACATTCACATTCACATTCACATTCACATTCACATTCGCATTCACATTCACATTCACATTCACATTCACATTCACATTCACATTCACATTCATTCATTCACATTCACATTCACATTCACATTCACATTCACATTCACATTCACATTCACATTCACATTCACATTCACATTCACATTCACATTCACATTCGCATTCACATTCACATTCACATTCACATTCACATTCACATTCACATTCACATTCACATTCACATTCACATTCACATTCACATTCACATTCACATTCACATTCGCATCCACATCCACATTCACATTCGCATGCACATTCACATTCACATTCACATTCACATTCACATTCACATTCACATTCGCATTCGCATTCACAGTCACATTCACATTCACATTCACATTCACATTCGCAGTCACATTCACAGTCACATGCACGTGCACATGCACATGCACATGCAAAAGCACCTGCACCTGCACCTGCACCTGCACCTGCACATGCACATGCACATGCACATGCATTTGAACATGCACATGTATTTGCACATGCACATGCACATGCACATTCACACTCACACACACTCACACACACACGCACACATCCGTAGCTATTTAGGCTCAAGCCAGCATCCCTGGTGCCAGGGCGGGCAGGTGCGCGCCGTGCCTCTCCATCACGTAGGGGAGCGGCTCTGTCCTGCTCCCCGTGTCGCGGCCCCTGCGATGGGGGCCATGACAACGGCGCGAAGGGTGTGGCTGCGGTCGCGCGCTGCCAGGCGCTGGTGGCGCTTGCCCCGTCTGTGCGGGCTGCTGCAGCTGGTGCGGCTGAGGGGGGCGGAGGGCGCCACCGCGCCGCTGCGGCTGCCGCGACCCTCTGCACTGGCGTGGAGCTCGCCCCCGAACTGGCGCCGATGGACTCGGTGGTGGGCGAGGAGGCCCGAGCGCGGGAGCGGCTCGCGAGGCCGTGCCTCACGGAGCAGGTGGCGGCGGGCCGCGTGGGCGTGCTGCCCCGCCCCTCGGGCGGCCGCGAGGTCTGCCGCGACTGGGCGCGGCGCGCCGAGTTCGGCATCGGCGCCGAGCAGGTTCCGACCACGGCGCGCGAGGCTGGATGCCGCGCCCGCGGGCCGATGCGCCGCGCCAAGGCGTTCGACGAGGAGGAGGGCCAGGGGGAGGTTGTCCTGGACCCCGCCCCGCCCTTCCCCTCCATGCTGGGACCGCTCGGCGGGGCCCTCGGCGAGGGGCCCGCCATGCCCACGGCGGCGGCGAACGCCGAATCGGCCGACCGCGCCGACGGGGCCCTCGAGGAGCGCGGCGCGCTCGCCGTGGAGCTCCGGGAGACCTGCGCCCGGCTGGAGGCTGCCGCCGGCGTCGCCGCGGAGGCGAGCGCGGCGCTCGCGGAGGCCGAGGGCCGCGCCCAGGTCCGCGCGGAGGAGCGCGATAGGCTCGCCCTGGCGCTCGCGGAGGCGGAGGGCCGCCTCCAGGACGTCGCGGAGGAGCGCGACAGGCTCGCCCTGGCGCTCGAGGGCGTGATGGGGGCGCGGCCAGGCCCGCACGGAGGAGCGCGACGTGCTGGCCGAGGAGCTCTCCAAGACCCACGCCCAGCTCGAAGCCAACGCAGCCCTGCTGATGGAGGCGCGGGAAGGGGCCGTGGACGTGGCCTAAACGTTGGCGGTCGACGGCGGCACGGACCTCGACGACGTCGTAGGCTCGACTGCTTCCGCCGGGGTCGATGTGCAGAGCGTGGTGGACCCCGTCCCCCACTACGCGGAGGCGCAGGAGCAGGCGGAGGAGCTGGACGACCATGACGGCGTCTTCTGCGCTTCGCCTGCGGCGCGGAGTATGTCCAAGTAGCAGGCGCGCCTGGCGCGCCGTGCTGCGGCGGCCCCGTCGGCTGGGGATCGCGTGGAGGTCATGATTCCGTTCGTCCCATTCCGCCAGACCCGACGGGTGCCCATTGGGTCCGAGGCGTCGTGGTAGACGAGGGCGCCCCCCAGGACGCCGTGGCGGCAGCCATTTGGAACAAGCCTCGCCTGACCTGACTCGGCGGCCACAGCATCGGAGGAGCAGTGGCGTCGAAGCAGGACTGGCGCTGTTTCCGTAAGCTGGCCGATGGCGACACCTGATGCTGTGGCCTCAGGTGGTCCGTGGTGGCCTGTGGCATGGCGAGCAGGCGGGGGCCGTTCGGGTGGGGAGCGGCCGTCCTGCTCTTCTGATCGAGGCTCGGCTTGGGCAAGCTTGATCGTACGTTTCAGTATCTGTATGGTGTTTCACTTGGGCAGGGTTTGGGCCGAAGTGCCTGACCCTGCGCGCTGGCCTCTGGGCTGGTGCGTCGTGGTGCCTCGGAGTTTCCTGGGGTCCCGTTCTGAAGTTTTTGGAGGGCAGGGGCCGAAGCGCCTTTGCTTCTGGAGCTCTCGCTTTCGGTAATATGTTGGGGATTGCCTGCTCTCGTGCTTTCAGGTTTTGCCCTGGGGCCCCTAAGCGGCCCATGTGGGCCCTCGCAGGTGCAGGCCGCGGTCAGTTGCTCCCGCGTGGCTGGACGTGCGCCGTCGACGGCCCAACGCATGCAAACGCAAACGCAGACACACACACACACACGCACACGCACGCACGCACGCACGCACACACAAACACAAACACAAACACAACAACACACACAAACACAAGCACAACCACAAACACAATCACAAACACACTGGCAAACACAAACACAAACACAACCACGCACACGAACACGCACGCAAACACGCACGCAAACACACACACAAACACAAACACAACCACACACACACCGACACACAAACACACACAAACACAACCACAACCAAAACCACAAACACACACACACATGCAGACACACGCACAAACACAATCACAAACACACACACACACACGCATTAACACACAAACGCGCACACAAACGCAAGCACAATCACAAACGCAAGCGCCGACACAAACACACACGCAAACACAAACATTAACCCACACACAAACACACAACACACACACAACACACACACACACACGCACGCACGCACGCCCGCCCGCCCGCCCGCCCGCCCACACGCACGCACGCACGCACGCGCGCACGCGCGCACGCACGCACGCACGCACGCACGCATGCACGCGCGCACACAAACACACACACACACACACACACTCACACCTACCCACACACCTGCCCCCCCCCACCCACACACACACCGCACTCACGCGCGCACGCGCGCACGCGCGCACGCCCGCCCGCGCGCGCGCACGCACGCACGCACGTGCGCACGCACGCACTCACGCACGCACACACCCAAGCACGCACGCACGCACGCACGCACACGCACACACACACACACACACCTTCACACACCCACACACCCACACACCCACGCATCCACACACCCACGCACCCACGCAGCGCCCACACACGCACGCACGCACGCACGCACGCACACACGCACACGCACATGCACACGCACGCGCATACCCACACGCGCACGCACACGCACACGCACACGCACACGCACACGCACGCGCACACGCGCACACGCTTGCGCACACGCACGCGCGCGCTCGCACACGCACAAGTACACGCACACGCGCGCGCGCACGCACGCACGCACTCACAAACACACGCACACGAACACACAAACACACAAACACACCAACACACCAACACACCAACACACAAACACACAACACACACAAACACACAAACACAGAAACACACGCGCTCAAAAATGTACACACACACACACTACACACAACACGTACACACATTTACCCACACGCCCCCCCCCACACACACGCCCACCCACCCACGACCCACCCACGCGCACCCAAGCACCCACGCACCCACGCAGCACCCACGCAGCACCCACGCAGCACCCACGCAGCGCCCACGCAGCGCCCACGCAGCACCCACGCGGCACCCGCGCAGCACCCGCGCAGCACCCACGCAACACCCACGCAGCACCCACGCAGCACCCACGCAGCACGCGCACGTGCACGCGCACGCGCATGCGCGTGTGCACGCACACGCACACACGGACACACGCACGGACACACGCACGCACGCACGCACGCACACGCACACGCACACGCACACGCGCACACACACGCGCACGCGCACGCACACGCACGCACGCACGCACGCATCCACGCACACACACACAAACACACACAATCACACACAATCGCACACAATCATACACAGTCACACACAATCACACACAAGCACACACACCACACACCACACACACCACACACACCACACACACACGCACACACACACACACGCACGCACGCACGCACGAACGCACGCACACACACATTCACACACACGCGCACACAGTTTTTGGTTTTGCCACATCAGTTGTGTGTTGTTGGTGTGTTGTTTGACAGACTTTTTTTTGAGTGTGTGTGTTCCCCCTCGACGTGTGCGATCTGTTCCCAGGTGTTCCAGTGCCGCGCTTTTGCCGGCCAGTCCTGGGAGAGGCTCCCGGGGCTGCCTTCGTGCGCGCCCGCGGCCCAGGAGAGGCCCGGGGCCCGCGCCGGCGTGGGGCTCCCGGAGGGCCCCTTCCCGTGAGGCCGCATCTGCGTCGCCCCAACATGCGAATACTCCAGATTTCGTAATAAAAGGGAGGGGGGTCTCATTTCGGGGGGGGGTCTCTTCCAGGCTATCTTGGAGGGCCTGGGGGGTCTGGGGACGATGTTTTGGAGGGTTCTCCCACGGGGGAGGTCTGAAATGGCTTGTCTTGGAGGGTCCAGACTCTCTCCCTTTTATTACGAAATCTGGAGTATGTGTGCCCGGAGCGGCGCGCGCACCAGGACGTCTTATAGCACATGCGTCGCGGCGGGCGCTTTCTGGCCACGCCGCTCGGGGCACGATCTGCTACAAGGTGGGAATACAGTGCCGGTTTTAATGCATGCTCCGCGTGCGGATCAGGCATCGAAAATGCAGGGATTTAGTATTACAAACAACGATGAGTTCATGCATAAATTCATTCATACATTGATCATGTATTAAAATCATATATTTTTAAAATCCGATGTTTTAAACATTGCCCTGTACTATATGTTCGGGTCGTACGCGCGCCTCCAAGGGGGACATAGTACTAGTGTGTCCCTGCGCGTCCCATTTCAGGCGGTGCAGGCGGTGATGACCGCCGCCGGCGCCGAGCAGGCTGCTGAGGTCACCGTGGCTGGCGCTAAGGCGAGTGGGGGGCCCGATGCGCCAGTGCCTGCCAGCGAAGAGATTGTCGAGCTCCATGGCCACCAGGCGTCGGTGGCCCGAACGGCCATGGTGTGCACGTTATGTGGCTCTTCCCGAATGTCCAGTGGCAAAGTCGCGATGTGTGAGCTGCAGGAAAATTTTCGGGGACTGTCAGAGCACAAGGCCGAACAACATAAACAACTATACGCTATAACTGCTATACGGGTTAGTCGTCACCTTCAGTCGAGCCCACCGATCTGTCCTCACTAACTTTAGTAGTGTGTAGGCCCATGCTCCTTTCTGTCGGCTGCACGACTCGGCCTTGCTGCAGGTCCCCTTTCTCCTCCTCCTCCTCCTCCTCCTCTTCCTCCTCCTCCCCCTCCTCTCCTTTTCTCCCCTCTCTTTTCTCCCCTCTCCTCTCCCCTCTCTCTCTCTCCTCATCCTCGTCGCCGCTCCCCTGGACCCTTGGAGGCTTGCAGCTGCGCAGCTGTCGCCGCTCCCGTGGGCGCCCAGGAGGTCCAGCGGAGGCGCCAAGGCAGGAGCGGCCTCGTGGCTCCCCGGGAGGCGGGCAGCTGCGCAGCCGTCGCCGCCTTCGTGGGCCCCCTGAGACGTCCAGCAGAGGCGCCAAGGGAGGCGGGACATCGCGGCCCCTTCGTGCCTCCTCCTCCTCCTCCTCCTGCTCCTCCTTTCCTCCTCCTCCTCCTCCTCCTCCTCCTCCTCCTCCTCCTCCTCCTCCTCCTCCTCCTCCCCCTGCATGGACTCCCGCCGTCCAGGCCGAGGCCCAGAGGCAGTCAAAAGGGGGGCCATCGACGGTGGTGAAACAGCAAGCCCCCCACGCAAACCTAGGGGGCTCCTAGCAGGTCCAGCGGAGGCGCCAGGCAGGCGAGGCCTCGCGGCTCCCCGGGAGGCTGGCGGCTGAACAGGCCGCCGCCGTTTTTCCGTGGGCTCGTGGGCAGGTCCAGCGGAGGCGCTCGTCAGATGAGAATTCGCGGTTCCTTGGGAGGCTGGCAAGTGCGCAACCGTCGCCATTTTCGTGGGCTCCTGTGAGGTCCAGCGCAGTAGATGGTCCTCGCAACGTGTTCTTGTACAGGGGGGCGTTCGTATACATAGTCGCCTCGCGTGGAGAAGGGGATGGGTACGCCTCGAGTGTGTTTTTTTACATTGAAGTGCGCACCCTTCTATCGGGTGCGGCGGAGGCGAGCGCAGCGCTTGCCCCAGTCACGCTGGACGCACGAGGAGCCATGATGGTGGTGGTGATGATGGTGATGATGATGATGATGATGATGATGATGATGATGATGATGATGATGATGACAGTGGTGGTGGTGATGATGATGATGACGGTGGTGGTGGTGGTGATGGTGATGATGGTGGCGATGATGATGATGATGATGATGATGATGATGATGATGATGACGATGTTGATGATGACGGTGTCGACGATGTTGATGATGCTGCTGGCGATGTTGGTGATGCTGTTCATGATGCTGATGGTACTGATGATGGAGATGGCGATGCGTATGATAATGCTGATGGTGCTGATGATGATTTCTATGATACTGATGATGATTACAGCGTTGATGATGATGCCGACGATGCTGATGCTTATCTTGACGACGATGATCGTGGTGACAGTGATGGCGATGATGATGATGATGATGATGATGATGATGATGATGATGATGATTATGATGATGATGATGATGATGATGATGATGATGATGATGATGATGAGGATGATGATGATGATGATGGTGATGATGATGATTAGGATGATGACCATGACGATGATGATGATGATGATGATGGTGAGGTTGATGACGATGCCGATGGTGATGGTGATGATGATTATGATGCTGATGCAGATGCTGATAATGCTGGTGATGACGACGATGATGATGCTGCTGCTGATGATGGTGATGCTGATGACGATACGGATGATGGATATGATACGATGATGACTATGATGACGCTGATGGTTATGATGATGATGGTGATGGTAGTGATGATGGTGATGATGTTGGTAAGAAGAAGAGTTTACGGTGCGATAAGTATGATGATGAGTATGATGGTGAGAATGATGGTGACGTTGGTAAATTTGATGCTGGTAGTCATTATGATCATGCTGATGCTGCTGCTTATGATGATGATCATGATGCTGATGATGATGAATCTGCTGATTTTGATGATGATGAGCAGGAGGATGCTGATGATGATGATGCTGATGGTGGTCATGATGATGGTATGGCTGATGATGATGTGGACGATGATGGCGATGATGGCGATGAGGATGATGGCGATGACTGCGACGACCTTCCCGACGACGAGGACGAAGAAGGGCGTTTTATCCGTCCCTCGCTAGATTGCTTTCTCGCGCT